CTAATCCCTGCTGGAATCCTTTCCGGATGGAAGTCGGAATAACCCGAGCATCACGCAGCTTTGAGAGGCCAGTCCTGATGGCTGTTGGACAATTCACTGCAGTGCAAGACCCTGCTCTTGCATCCTAGTTACTAGGAATTCAACCTAGTGATGTGCTGAGCATGTTTCTTTTCAATGACCCCACTGCCATATGAGATCAGACCTTTAAGAACCCACTGAAGCCTCAGTGGTGACCTCTTGAATTATTGATGTTGCCACTTAACGAGGTATGTGTGTGTGTGCGGGGGATCCTCCTTTGTTTATCAAAAGATTTGGCATGAATAACCAAGAAAAGACAGCAGAAAATGTAGGTCCTTAGAAAAGGATCACATACATTCCACAGAGCCCTGCCCTGGCCTCATTTAGTGCCTGTGTACAAATGGTCCCCCTCTGCCATTGCTGTTGCTCAGGGAGTCCCTGTAGCTGGAGAAAGGCAGCAGAGGTCTTCAATGTCAGTCCAGAGGAAAAGGCCTTCCATAGCATTGACTGTGGCTTTTGAAGGAGACCGAACTGCATCCCATCACAACATGTCTTGATCTGACATCCACAGAGTGTGCTTAGAAGAGTGATTAAAAGTCTTTTAGCTACAAAACGAGTCCACTCATCTTTGACAGAAGGCACTGCTGGGGACTTCTGTCCCTAAAGAGGTCACCACAGGATACAAAGGGAGAATGAACACGTCTTCTGCTCAAGGCACACTTGACATGTTGCCATAGAAACCAGTTACTTAATTCAGGCATAAACAATTCTTACAGCCCCTAGTGAATTCCAGTAATGGGTTTATTATATCACACTTCATTGGTGTCATCTGTCACACAGACACTCATAAATGATCCAGCCTTTGATTCAAAACTCAATTCCACTAGCTAAACCCAATATGGTAATGGTCTTCTTTTGGGTCTGATGGTTATAAGTAGGTCACTGTTCTACCCCACTTTGCATGCTAATGTCTTCCTTTCATGCAAACGTCATCTTCGATGGAGAAGAACATTTGTTTTCATTTCCTGATATTCCGGTTTATTAAAAACATGTTTTTAATCTCTCAGATGCTTGAATGCACGTGCTGTCAGGATGCAGGTTGAAACATTTTGGTCCATTTCCCCTGTATGATGTTTGAACTGTAAGTCACACTAATGTCTGATGCATAGTGGTAATTTCTCCTTTTGTTTGGGACAGAGTTTTGATTTACATTGGCTGATTTTAGGCTCATTTTAGGCTCCATGACTATATAGTACAGTGTTTTTAAATTAGAAAAACAGATGAATGGACCACTAGGTTAAAAAGTTATCAGTTGATGCATAAGACTCCGTGCAAGCACTACCTGTAGATGGGCTTACAGTAGATTAAAAGACCTTAAAAAGGTGGAGGTGGTTTTAGTTCATGATGTTATGTTGGATGTTGGCGTTCTGAAGTTGATGAGCATACCAATAACTATTGTCCTTTAATGGTTAAAAAACTTTTCCCTGAACAACAGGATAAAGATTAGAAGCACTTGTTTCCCATTTAATATATAATTTCTTAGAGTGATAGAAGTCAACAGGCAAAACACAGGATACTTAACAGGCTGGTCAGGACTTAAGACATGCTAGTGGAGGGCTTTCACTGAGAAGAGTTTATAAGCATAGAAAGTTAGGTGTTGATTTTGTGCTGCTTCATATGAAGCCAATGATGTGCCGGCAATTGGCAGTGAATCAATTGCTCTGCCTCCTAGACCAGAAATCATCAACAGAACAAGGTTATTGCCAGAAGAATTAAGTTGGGGGGACCTAGGACCTCAGACAGATTTTAGCTGCAGAAGTACTCTGGATCTGAACAGCAGTAAGGAATTTAGTAAATTTTGGATTAAAAGAAAACTGAAAGAGCCATTAGGAAGTAATCTCCTTGCATTTCTACAGGACTTGTTCCCCAATGCATGACATCTTCTGTCTCAGATGTACCTTACCTGAGGTGGAATGGAGGTGTATGACCCTGTCAGAGGTGAAAGATAAGGGATAATCTACAAGAGACAAGGGATACACCTTAACTTAATGATACATTATGTTCTGTCGTGACATTGTCATATCACTCACCCAGATGTCTTTTGCTTCCATTCTAGTCTCCTAAAAGTTTCTCTTCTGCCAAGTTTCCTGTCATGCTCTCAGGAAAAGTATCTTTCAGTGGTCTTGGAGGATCATCAGAGTACACTGACTCAGGGAGATGCATCTCAGTTTATAGATGCATGTACATTACTGCAGCTCTACCACCTTCTCCCTTCACACCTGCATTCTCAGTGCTGGAAGCCAGTTGACCTAAAATCTTGTTTCATGATGTGTCCCACATGGGTTTTAAGCCTAAGTATTCTCAGTAAGCCATCTCTTTTTTTTGATTCATTTTATGCCCTGTGAAAAAGGAATCTGTGTCTCTTCTCCAAGTGAACAGGACAACACTCAAGAAAAACCTGAGTGCCATGCAGTAGAAGCTACTTCAACCCCCTCAGTAGAGAAACTGGCATTTATCTCAGAGCATTAATTAGCATTTAAGTAGGAATGGTTTTGATAACTTCAAAAATGTTGTCAGCTTGTGACGTGAGCTCCTCAGCAATCCAAGGCTTAGCCAGAATCAGTAACTGGATAGGTCAGAGTGGAGGTGAAAAAGAAGCAGAGAACACTGCAGAAAGTAGTGCTGGGGATTCAGTCAGCTTCCTTCCAAGTTAGTTGTGAATCAGTGCTTGAGGGGATGCCCTGGTGACATTTGTGACATCTTTAAAATGATGTGTAAAACTGCAGTTCTGAGATGTGTGGGGAAAGCTCCTGTGAGACTTGCAGTAAGAGTAGCAGCATCACTCGGGCAAATCTGATCAGGTATCACTTTAAATAACCACACTCTGCCTTCCTTTACTTAATTCACAAAAGAATCTGCTTTGTCATATTGCTGACCTGAAAAATCTGATGCTTTTGCACCCTTGCCATAGTGGCATTTCATGGATTGATTAACAGGTCTCTGTAAAGTCTGTCCAGAGCTTCAGAATCCTTTTGGGTTAATGTGCTGTGAAACAGTATTTGCCTTGTTCTCTGTTAAGTTGCCACACAAATTCCTGTGTGCTGCTTTAAAGCTTCAGCTCTCTATCCCATGGAGGAAGTGACCTCTGTATGTATTCAATTCATGTAACAGTTCATGAAAGTATTTGGTATCTGCAAGGGTACGACCTGTAAATATATGACTGTTCCTACTGTTACTGTTGTTTTCTAACATATACTACCATAGTGTAGGTTGAGTAAGCATACACATATTCATTTTAGTGTAGTTGCTGCCCAAGCTGACAGAATCATTTTGACACTTGTAATCACAAAGGCTGGTGTTGGATGAGTGTTTTATTATTTGATTTTCTGCCATCCACTTCTCAGATTTGTTGTAGCAGCAACACATGGCCTTAATGATATTCCCCAAGGTTAAGTAAGCACAAAAGCCAACATAGTGCAGTGCAACAGGGGATACTGTACCAGAGGAGAAAGAGTTGGTTAGCATTTAAGGCCAAAGCATTTGCCTTAGACCCTATATTCTGTTCCTTACTCAACCAGAATTGTCCTGTTTTACCACAAAACACTTCACCTCCCTGTGCTGCTCTTTACCTATCTGTGAAATGGCAACAGGACCCTTATATGTGTGCTGAAGATCATTAAATGGATCTTGCAAAGTACTTCCAGATTTTTGATTGGAAGGCACACAAGAGTGGAAAATTATATTAGTTGCCTAAATTCTGTATTGACGTGGCAGGTTGTAATCTCTCCACAGAAGACATTTGGATGTGTTTGATTTACATGTATCATAACTGACCAGCAGAATTACTACCCCAGGAACAAGACAGTTTAGTAGTTGGATGATGTGCTCCAGATTTCCGATATGCAGAGATGTTTGCCAGCCTATTGCACAAAGATGAACTCAGTCTCTCCTTACTGCTATTCCTCTGTCTCAGATACAGTACACTAGTTTCTTTCTTCTCGAGTGCATTTTGAAATGCACTGCTGAAACTACTGTGTTTTTTGAAACCTATCTGGACCATTCACCTCACACCTGAGTTTAATTTGCAGCAAAGTATTACTGCCAAACCTCCATGATCACTTTCAGACAGGGAAACCAGGACAATTGTGACTTCTCTGAGGAAGAGAGAAGGAAGTGAAAGGACTTCTTGTCACAAAGCCTCTGTTGTGACTATAGGGATGTCTTTATGTCTCCTCTATAAAATGATACCAATGATATTTAATGGCTTTCCCATCTAAACAGTTTCAAGATTGTTGAATGAAAAGGGTTATAACTAAACTAAGTATCTGATTACTATGCAGTCGTTAATGTTCTTGTCAGAGGAATTTATCAGAGCAATTATACATTTATTTTAAAAGAAAGTTTTCTGCATATTTTTAGTACCACATCAGAATATTCATACCAGGTTGAATTGTGAAAACTAGCTGCTCACTTCCACTCCCTGTTTCTAAATGGCTTGATAAAATCAGACCAGTCACCCCCAGCAAGAAAAAATACATTAAACTTAGGGGAAGGATGTATTTAAGTCATCCAAACATCTAGGACTTTTTATATGGAGAAGAAAAAGACAATACAGTTCATGTCATCCTAAAGTAGGAAACCAGTTTGGATAAATCAGATCTACATGTTTATTTCCCTTCATCTATTTTGTTGGAATTCTAGATCAATTATTGATATCTGTAATGTAAAATTAGGCAATGTTAATCCTATCCTGTGCAGCTGTCATAAAATAAATCTGTTAAACTATTTCCATCCATTTTCATTGATATATAACTTATCTTTTTCTTCCTCTTTATTTTATTAACAGAAAGCCTTTGGGGATGAGCTACCTTTCTTAAGTTATATGCACAGTATCTCTTTGAGCACATACTCTCTGATTTTCAGCCAGTCTTGTCTCCAGCTGTTTGACACTAAACTTAGTCCAAACCTCAGTTTTTGCTTACCTCACCTCTGGTGCAGGGCAATGCATCTGAATACCTGGAAGTGCACATGGAGCCCTCCTCAATGAGATCATCCTGGAGCCCAAAAGTAGCTGTACAGTTGACAGAGAAATATTTGTAGGGCCTCCAAGTCTGCCCATAGTCCTGGGATCTTTCCAACACCATCGCAGCTGGTCGAGGTGACTTGAACACAGCAATGACATGGGTCAGGTAGAACTCTGTTTCAAAGTCCAGTCTGATTTCTTCCCTGTGTACCCCTTGGGCAGACTGCCACCAGGAGATGGGGTTTGCAAAGAAATCGTCTGTCATGTCAGCTGGGAGATGGGAGTTATCAGGCTGGTTGGCATTGCATTTGGTGCAGCGAGGCTGCCCACAGCCATGGGAGGCCTGATGGAAGAGATTCTGGTCTGAGTAGAAACAGTACAGTTCTGTACTGTTCTGGCCACATGTGGTGAGAGTGACTGGTGTCCTCCCTGTTGCAAGGTTTCCCACTGGAGGGTTGCAAGAACGGCCATTACAGCGGAAGGCTCGTAGCCTCATGGGATCTGAAAGACAGGCAAAAGAAACACAAGTAAGTAGAGTTTCTCAGATAGTTCTCAGGCTGTAACACAGGTGACTGCAAATGTTCAGAGTCCTCAGCTGGGGACTGACATCTAAGAGGACACCTAAGGAGAGTTCATCTTTTCACATAGAGTCTGGAGGGAGTTTCTCAATAAATCTAGCCCTTGTTTTTGTTGCCTAACTCAGAAACTGAGGTCTTTAGAAAACTCAGGCTTACGGCACTTAACTTCGATTTCTGTCAAAAATGCAGTTGTGTGAGTCTATTGAATTTTATGTTTAACCACAGAAATACTGTTTTCTTATTGTCACTGTAGTAAAGCTCTGTATCTGAGGACTGAATCTATTCAATGCATTTATTTTCATTGTTACCAAAAAGCAAACTGTGCTATACACTGTAGATGCATTAAGAAAAGTGATTATTCCTGCCCAACAAATTAGAGACACTAATTACACATAAAAACACATAAAGAAAGCATATGTTTCTGTAGTTCTATAGTTCTGCATTACTGGCATAATTTTGAGGGGTCTCAAGTTTCTGCTGCTCCTATTGATATCAGCTGGAGTTTCAAATCTCTTTTTTGTTTATGTACCTTGACATGGAGGTTGGTGATTATATTGTGTTTGCAAATACTAGCAAAAATTTTGGTATCTTCAATGTATATATCTACTTATTTCTAAATTAAGAAAAGCTAGGGATAGCTACAAGGTCTTCATATTGTTTGGAAATCAGTAGTGTCTCCTGACACTGGAATTAATGGGCAGTCCCAAAACCTTATTACCATACTGGAGAAAACTGCTCTTCTAATAACATACAATGTCCTCTTTGCAAATTAACTACCTAGAAGGAGTTTAAGACTGACCTTGCAAGGTCATAAATCTAATCCAAGAGGTCACAAATCAGATGACTGGATGTAAGTCCTACAGGAAATGACCCTTCCAATGAAACATAGGATGACCGTAAACGCTGGGTAATCTAGGAGCAGTTCAAAGGTCAGCTAGTAGTTCAACATTCTAGGTCAAATTGTTAAATCCCTACTCAGATTATATTCAGCCTTTCCTCAAGCAAATTTAGTTTTAAAATCAAGTTAGGTCAAAGAAAAGACTTTCTGATTCAGCTTTCTAAAAATACTCAAATTGTAAATGTAGGTGGGTGAACCTGATGCCCCTCTTTCCAATAGGAATGTTTAAGGTGAAAAAAATGTGTCCAGAGAGCATGGCTTTGCCTCCGAGTTGCTTCTGTCCTTAGTTCCTTAGTGACGTTTCTGCACAAGCCAGAAGAGAATGGTCAGAGATGGACATTGTTTTGGGAAACACTTCATGAATTTTTTGCTTCCCAGGATCAGGACACAAAACAAAGTTGCTGTATGACCACTGAATCCCATTGACCAATGCTGTGTGCCATTTTAGCTTACATACAGCACAAGGTAGTCTTAAACTTCTGGTAGCAAGGAAACAGATCATCCAAAAATGCTCTTGACTGCTCTTAGAAACAGGTGGAAGCCACCTTCAAAGGAACTTGGACTTAGTCTGCGTTTACCTTACAGACATTTTAAGCAGCAGCCTCAGGTTTCTGGAGACACAGTGGGTTTCCTCCTGCTAGAGGTTGTCCTTCACTAGTAGCTGGAATGGGCTGGCCAAGAGTTTTTTAAGTATCGCAGTGAAGTCCTAGGAGACTGGCAGAGCTTAGAGGACAGCAGTGCCTGAATTACATGTGTACCTAATAGTCCTCAGATCAAAGGAATGAAAGCTGCCCCTCCTCAGCCCCACCACCACTCCCTGTGCTGGCACAGAGATGAATTTTCATGAGAGAGGAGAAGTTGCAGAAGTCAGCTGGAAAGGAAAGGTGAGATGATGGGGATGTTTGGCTCTATCAATTCTGTTCTTTGCTCCCCAACTTCAATTGAGCAGGTGATTTTTAGCAGTACTGCAAATTCTCCACCAAGCTCTCACACCACCCTGATGCTTGATGACCATTTCAGTGCATTTTCTTTCTGTTTATGCACTTACTATTCCATATGAGCCTAATACAGTTAAAGGGGAACACGAGGAGCTTCAGGTATTTATTTTATCTGGGATGTTCCTTGCAAATTCTCTAAGTCTGCTTGTCCTGAGAAAGGACTTGGGTTTCCACAGAAGTTCTTTAGAGCTTCCTCCTTTTTACAGAGCATCTGAAATTCCAAATTTTTGTCTGCTCTGGAGAGTGATTTTCACTGAGTCATGCAGAATTATTGAAATAAAGATAAATCAATCCTTGCAGGTCAGCAAAAATATAATAAGCCACAACTGCATACCTCAAGAATGTCTTTGCAAGTGACATTTAGGTTCATGTTCATATCCAAGCTGTTTGGTAAAAATTACTGGAAATAAGGAAAGCACAGTAATTTCTGTGTTTAAAGTAGATTGGATAGTAACTGATTTTGCTCAGTGCTGCAGAAAGGTATCATCTTTGCCTCCAGAGAATTTAAGTGAGACTGGTCTTACAACTGAGCTCTGAACAAGCATTAGCTCTGACTAAGAGTCAGGTTACTTAGTTTTGATTAAAAATGGTTCCATGTTACAAATGCTATTGGATTATGGATAAATATGCCATGTAATTAAAAGAAAGTCCATCTCTATTGATGGATCACACCACTGAAGTTTTCATAGAGGAAAGGGGATGCTGGTGTTCCAAATTTAAGGAGTTATATAAGGGAAGCTTTGCAGACAAGAATGTAAGAAAGTAAAAAAAAGGGTTTTTTCTAAAGGGAATGTCTGTTTTTTGTATTTCCTATAAATGGGCTATTAGTCTTGTATTGAGTTTTTCAACTGCTTAAATCTGAACCTGGAAAAGGAAGAAAAACATGGTTTTTCTCCTGAACAACAGTCACAAGAAGGTTTATCTGTTCTGCCTGCTAATACAGCAACATCAATAAACAGTTCCTGTCTGAACTGCTGTGTCATTAGGAAAATGGGAGAAGAACAAAGTGCAAATTAGCAGAAGGGAGTGTAAGAGAAGGAGAGAGGGTGGAAAACAAAATCTGCAGTCGATTAAAAGCTTTGCATTTAAAGAAATCAATTGGCAGAACATTGCTTGGCCACAAGGATAGCGCAGTCTGTCCATCACTCACTGATTCTGTGGAAACAACGTGAAATGTTGCATCTGGACAGTGAGGGTGGACCACTGCAGAAGAGTAACAGCAGCTAAGCGAACAAACAACTTACCCCAACAGCCAAAAGGACTCATTGAATAATTTATAAAGAACTAAACAATTTGATTGCGAAGGGGCAGTGCATGTTATTGAAGTTGAGTAGCTTTTACTCCATGGAGGATGGCTTGGCTCCATAAATGGTATGATTAATTTATTTGTTTGTTTTCTGGTCCCTCAGAGCTCTGCCACAAAGTGGCAGGTCAATGGCACATGCCTGGCACGTGTTATAACAACGGTGTTATCTGATGATTAGGGAATGACAGAGTTCAAGGGAGGTCATACTATTGATATTCCTGGGACACAACTTCAGAGATCTCTTACTTCAGGGCCTTGTAGTGCAAGAGACCATTGTAGACATTAACTAAAAACAGGTTCAATCTTTTTTAGATTTTCTTTTCACTTTCCATTGGATGCTCAACAGAAGAAAGGTCATACAGCAACTCAGTCAGATCCTGCTGATGTGACTGGAAAGATGCCTAATATTTTTTCAGCTATTTGAACTGCAATTTTAATTTATTTCCCATATGCCAATTTATGATTTTGTGCATTCATGTCTCCTACAGTGAGACAGGAGAGTGAATTTCACAGTTCTGACCGACACATAAACACTAAAACCATAGGGCCTCTTCTGCTATGTTTTTGATGGAGCAGTTTCAGCATGTATGCCCAACCTGGATTTCACTTGTTCCGTATCTGTTTAACTTTTTTCTTAATAACCAAAAACTTGTAAATGTTCTTTTAAAGATAACTACCTTGGGCACATGAGTCGTTTAAGTTTCTGTTAATCAGACCTAGAACTTCACTCCTTAATGCTGGTTACAGCAGAAGTGCTATACAACTCTTTGGTTTGTCTGTGGCCAACATGCAATAAATTGGCAAATCATCATCCATTTATGAGTAGCCAAATGTATTTCTGCATTAAAATAGCCCTCACAACTCGAGCTCATGAGCCAGCCTTCATAAATACCCCAAAGGTGAAGTTCTCAATATGCTATGTCCATGACCTGAGGTACAGACAGAAGGAGAATAAAATTCCAGGTCTGGGCAATATTTCATTGTGGCTAATTGCAGTCTGCCTGCCTGCATCCCTCCTGGAACAAGGGTGGGCTCCAACACCTACAGCTTCATTTGCAGACGAGTGGAATAACTCCAGACCAGAGGAAACCAAACCCTGCTGCTAATGATTGATCACTGGTAACTGATTTTAAGCTTGGGGCTAGAAATGGCCATTTTTGACCGCACCACACCCCTTTTAGAGGGCTGCCAGGGGTAGGAGAGCTGGTTGAGACACTGCTCCCTGGGGGAGGTCTGGGCTGGTCAGGACTGAAGCAAGAGCCCAAGCTGCTATCAGTCCTGTCAACTGTCCCAATATGCAAGAGTTTTAGATGACTGCTGAGTTTATTTAAGAGGAATAACACCCTCTACCTGCCTAAGACTAGGGGAAGTATCACATCTCACAAAATAAAACCTAGGTGACTCCTCCAGCCCACCCACTAAGGGTTTTCTTCCCTTGGCATTATATTGAAAGATCTAAGGAGCCAGTCTTGACACCCCTGACTGTTTTCTCTGCACAGAGCTGGCAGAAGGCAATATTGTACTGCCCACAAGTATTGTACTCCATGTACTCCCCACACAACCGCTCCATCAATTTGTTTCACTACTGACAAGGAGGGAGTAACTATAGGGCTGAAAAGGGAGTTTACTGTATAGACTAATAAAGTATCTCAAAGACATACTTCCCTGTACACCTCTCTGCTCAGGAAAAGGCTGAGACTTCCAAATCATTGTACACAGACTGGCTAAACACTGTCTGGCCTAACCTTAGTCTGAGCAGTACCGACCCTGCCTGTAACAGGACCTGTAAACACTCAAGGTTAATTAAAGATTTTTATATTGCTTCTAAAAAAAATTTAAAAATAAAAAAACCCAAAAAAGAACAGGCAACCCTTGTGCTTTCACAGGGTGATGGTTTGTGCAATCTTTTGACCAAGGAGTGTATATTTATTTAAACTGGCATTGAGTCCTTAGCATCACCACCTTCAATATCCAATTATTTTGCTGTTATTTACTATGTCCTACACCATTAGTCTGAGTGTGTTTAGCTCCACACAGAACACACTCCCTCCTTACAAATTCACCTTCCAAGCAGTCATCTGTGAGCTGTATTTCCTTAAAGATTCATTTTCATTTTGTGAATTGGATGCAGAGCAGATTCAAGCTAGTTTATAACAAGCTGCTTTCCATAACAGTATCAGCAACTTTACAGGACATGTCTGCAACCTTTCTGTGCTATATATCAACATATGTATCCTATAGGGAGAGTCCTAGCCTGGGAAACTACTGAAAGCCCAAGATGAGATCGTAAAAGGACTAAGGTAGCACGTCCTCCCTCCTCTCATTCCCTGCCGTGTTGTGATAGCCAGCCTTTTTCTCAAATGAGTCACTGGCTAATATGCCAGGATTGTAAATTCATGAGCTGTTTTCAGTTTTTAAGAAACTAACTCTTGCAGTTATGGAAATCTGATGTCTATGTTATCAAAAAAGTTCTAGGGGAGGAATAATCTGAGCTGAAGCCACCTGACCTGCCTTTAACTTTCCTGGAGCTTGTAGGGTTAGCTGAACACTTCAGTCACGTTCAAATCACTGCACGAAGAGTGTTGTTCCTGCCCTAATACTCTGAGCTGACAGGTGAAATTTAAACCACTGGTATGCTTTCCTGTACAGAAAGAGAGATCCCAAGCCAGTATCTCAAAGCGAAAGTCCCCAAGGATGCATTGTTTTATCAATACTTATTTTTATTTTTCTGACCTGATCTGCATAATTCATCCCTTTTAACCTTAAAAATGGATTAAACCACAGCAAGAAGAAAACAATCTAATGCTTTGCTTCCTTTCCCTTAAGGAATTTGTCTCCATAATAATCCAGGTATTTTTAGGACCCTATGTAAATACCATTACAGCTGTATCATTCCTGTATATGCTTATTTGTACACCCACGTATACACACACAAATAATCAACTTCTCTTTCTGTCCTAATCCATTTTCTGTCTAACGCTAATTTAGTCTCATTCACTGCATGTTAACTATTAAGTCAGGGAATACACTGAATGAATGGACTGTCTTAGATAAATAGTAATTCTTAAACAGCATCTCTGACTTTTAATGATGCAAAATAAAGATAACAGAGAATAATTAAGATTGCTACAGTAATGCTGTCCAGGGATGTTGTCATTTCACTCTTGTCCTGTCCTTTTTCATACTCAAAACAAATATCCAGCATATCTCAATCCATCTACCTCTTTCCTTCTCTCTTACTTTTCTTTCATTCACAAAAATAATACATTTTTTAAAGGATGTATGAAACTGTATGTCCTGTTTTAAGTCTTTGGGAGGAGACTGAGCTATAAAGCTGTATATTGCAGGGAGTAAGAAACATTTGTATACATTGACTAACCCAGATCCGTTATAAAATCCAATCTAAAATAAAGATGTTAACATACTTTTTCTTTTTCTTTTTTTTTTCTTTTTATTTTTTAACAAACAGACCTGATTTCTATCCCCTTTCCCCTTGCTAAACTTAGGATAAATTGTTTCATGAAAGGCAATATTGATTTATTTTGCTTACCTGCTTCCCCATGGCCAGAAATAAAATACTCCAAGAACACAATCAGCATAATGCCTTTATGCTGCATGGCTGTCAGTAAAATATCTGTCCTCAGTGAAGCAAAAAAGAGCTGCAGTATCTACAGGTTTGGTGCTTGCATGGCTTTTCTGTATTTTCTTTCTTTCTTTCTGCTCACCTTCCTCTCAGTGTAGGGGGTCAAGGCTGCTGTCTCATTCTTCTTGTTCTCGTTTGGGTCCAGAGGTGTTTTTCTTTTCAGGTCTCAGATGCCTTCTGGGTGTCACCCGTACATCGCTTCCAATAAATAAATAAATAAGAAGGATTTTCAGTGTCTTTACCCCTCTCCATGCAGCGGGCTGGGGACAGTCACATCCCTGATGCCGCCACTTGAACGCACCATGGAGGGCTGGTGCGATGCAGAGAGCTCTCTTCGGTCCGGTCCTTTTGCAGTTCTTTGGATGCTATATCCAAACTTTCATTTCTGCTCCTTGCTTTTGGTGGAGCTTCGTTTTGGCTTTGCCTGGGTTCCCCCCGGTAACCTCCTTCCCCGGACCTCCTGCTAAGCGGGGCAGCGATGGGGTGCGGGCAGCATGAACCCTGCTTTGTTAGGAGGTCTAACCCAGGACCTTCTTTCCCTTTGCTCCCTGCAGCAGAGGGTCATAAGAAGAAGAGAGTTGGCGTTTCTCCCTGAGAGATGAGAAGCAAGTGCTTTCTTGGCTCTTCTCTCTTTTTATTTTGTTTTATTTTATTTTCTTTCCCTCCTCCCTCCGCTGTCACGGCAGCCACTTCTCCTCCACCTCCAAGGGATTTGCTTCACCCAGCCAGCGCCAGGGAATAAGAGTAAAAAACAAACCCCACGCCAGCTCGGCGGTGCCGGTGCCCGGGAAATCCCAATCCCTTCCCGTCGCTGCCGCTGGCCCGGGCGGTACGGGCTGGTCCCGGGGGCCGGCTCGGGCGGGACCTGCTC